CCACTCATGCTTTTATAGACCTCTATCATATCACCCCTCCATCTCCTCTTTTCTAAGCTGAAAAGTCCCAGTCTCTTTAGCCTGTCTTCATATGGGACCTGTTCCCAATCCCTGATCATTTTAGTTGCCCTCCCCTCTCCCACCTCCTTTTTCCAGTCTCCCCAAGTTTTGTTCAATAAAGAGAGTTTCTATTTTTGAACACACGTGTCCTTTATTTAGTACATCAGGAAGGGGGGCTAGGGAGGGGTAAGTGGAAGGAGGTGAGGGAGGAATGGGGTACGAGCTCCCTATGGGGAGGACTGGGGTGGCTCTGTGGGCTCCTCAGGGTGGAAGCTCTACTGCAGCCCTCCGATTGACCCCCTCCCCAGATGGCAGCCTGCAGCAAGTACAGCCGGGCTGATGGCCGAGTGCTGTGATGTGCCGAGTGTGGGCATTCAGGGCATTCCAAGCCAGGACTGCTTTGCTGTCCCTCACCGAGTTAGACAAGCTAGCAGGGAACCCCTGAGAACTGTCTGTCCGGGGTGGGGGTCGGGTCCCTTTAAGCACAGCCCTCGGCTAGCCTGAGACAGCAGCTCCACGCTCTAAGTCCTAATCTGATGCCCTGCCGGCACTGCTTCCGGCCATCCTTAACCTCGGTTCAGGGTCCACTCAATGTGGACATGCTAGTTCGAATTAGCAAAACGCTAATTCAAACTAGTTTTTAGGTCTAGATGCACTAGTTCGAATTAGCTTAGTTCAAATTAACTAATTCGAATTAAGTTAGTTCGAATTAGTGCTGTAGTGTAGACATACCCTGAGGGACATCAGTGTGAAAGAGGCTATTTGCATATATTTGCATGTATATGCAACCACACTTAAATTGCAGCCCTCGGCATGTGCTATGAGTATCACTGTGGCCTCTGGTGCTTCCAGTGTTGAGTAACCCTGGTCTAGGGGGTGACCTCTTTGTTCTATTGTAACACCAATGCTAAGGTGACCATATGTTTCCTTTATTCTCCCAGGTAAAATGCCTGGTGGTGCTGAACATGATGCCTAATGCTTTTGATGACCAATACATCGGCTGCGCTGATAAAATGGATAATGATGCATCTGAACTGCTAGAGAAAGAAAAATCCTGGAACAATCGACTGAAAAACGTGTGGGATCATTCAAAAACAAAATGGGCAAGTGTAAAACCAAAACTCTCTCTGCCTACTAACTTTAAAGATGAGTATGGAAGAGCCATTGTAGCCTATACTAACAGCACTCCATTGGACAATGTAGTTTTTTCAACTGAATTTAATCAGGCAGTGAGAGGGAACGGGACATCTCAAGCTCATTACATGGCCAAGTTCCATTTCAAAGCCTTTCACTATTATTTGACAAGAGCCTTGCAGCTCTTACGTGGGAAGTGTGATCAGATGGTGTACCGGGGGGTTCCCGATGAATATAAGCACACAGAAGGTTTTATCAGGTTTGGACAGTTTGCTTCTTCCTCTCTTGATGAACAAGAAGCTAAGAAATTTGCTGAGAAGGGGCCATCTGGCGCCTCCACAGTTTTCACCATCCACACGTGCTTCGGCGTTGATATCAGTGAATTCTCATACAACCCAAACCAAAAAGAAGTGTTAATCCCAATCCATGAGATATTTACAGAAGATAAGGATAACATATTTGTCCTCCGGAGCACAAAACAGACCTGCAACCACTTTAACTGCGCGTACCTGGGCGGTGAGTACTGGGTTGAACAGGAGAAATCCCCCAGGGAAAGGGTTACAGGGAGACCTGATGAGAGAGACCCTGTCATGGGGTGACCTTTGCAGCTAGTGAGGGCTCAGGCTGGGGTGGGTGGACACCGGGCCCCAAGCGCTCTCTGAGAACAGAGAAGGAGCCTAGAGGCCCCAAACCGCTGTGAGTTTTACACACACACATGCCCCCTACAGGGCCTGGCAGAGCGGCTGTGTCTTCTCAGACAGGGCCCAGCCAAACAGTAGGCTGCAGGGAGGGAGCAGGCAGTTGGCCCAGCGTGTGGTTGGCACTTTATTTCAGGCAGTCAGAGCTAGGGACGATGGTGAGGAACTTCAGAGTGATGTGACCAAGTTGCATGAATGGGCAACACCACGTCAGGTGAAATTCACTGACAGGCAATCATGGTGTCGCATGTTGGGAGAAACAACGTCACTGGGTTGTTAATGAGCTGGGCCAACCCAGACAGAGACTGGGCCATCATCATGGGGAGTTCAGTGACAATCTCAGTGAAAACCTCTGCTTAGTGTGCTGCTAGGCTGGTAAAGCAAACAAATGTTAGCCAGCCTGAAGGAGTGGTGGGATGGAGAATTATGTGAAAATTTTACAACATGATTATGGGAACCCATGGGGCAGCCTTCACTGGGGTACTAGCTTGGATCTGATCACACTAGCTCTAAAAGTGTTTACATGATTTCTACAGGTGAGTCTGAAATGGTTTAATTAGCAGAGGGGACACTCATAAGAGGAACATGATGGAAACAAACATAATAATAAAGGAGACAGTGTCAGATCAAAGAGCGCCATTTTCCCTTTCTCATAAAACATGAATAAACTGAAGGCAACATATTTTAACTAGTAAACGGGAATGTTCTGTTAGATAATGTAGGGTAAACTTGTGCCACAAGATTTCCATAAGGTCATGTGCCCAGTAGGTTAAAAACAAAAAAAAGTAGTCATTTATACAGACAGAATCTCCACAGATATGTTACATAGGATAAAGAGATTATAGTCCCTGTATAGGACATATGGCAGTCACTAATTGCAGAGGTTGGGAAAGAAACTTATCCTGTGTGTCAGATAATGTAGGGTAAACTTGTGCCACAAGATTTCCATAAGGTCATGTGCCCAGTAGGTTAAAAACAAAAAAAAGTAGTCATTTATACAGACAGAATCTCCACAGATATGTTACATAGGATAAAGAGATTATAGTCCCTGTATAGGACATATGGCAGTCACTAATTGCAGAGGTTGGGAAAGAAACTTATCCTGTGTGTCGATGTGACGGTGCATCGGGGACTCCCTGATCCTGTTCCCCCATAGAAGCCAGAACAGACTCCGCCAGCCACAGCACCGCACAGGCGTGATTTGGCTACAAGAGTCAGGGCTAGGATGCTTCAGACCCCTTGGGTTAGGGGGTCCATCGCCCCCTCAACCCTCAGCACTCAGCTTAGTCTGTTCCCTTCATGTTTTCCAGCCAGAAACTGCCTCCCTTCCAGGCCCTGCCCAGGTGTTCGTCTCCATCTCCCTCCCTTTGTCTCTCCCCCGGGGAAGAGCTTTGCTAACTGCCCAGGCTGGGACTAGGTGTCCGGGCCAATCCACATGTGGGTGAGTCAGTGAGAATCGCACATCACAGCGCAGGGGAACCCCGGGTTACAGAGCAGGGAGCCCCGCACAGGGCCAGATTAAGGGGGGGCTAGCCGGTCAGCTGCCCGGGGCACCAATCTATGGGGGCTGACTGATTGAAGTGGTAAGGGGCGCCGTACGCCCGGGGGCGGGGCCGTGCATGCGCCGCGTGCCCGCTGCCTAGGGCACAACTATGGGTCGGTCTGGCACTGGCTCCACACTACATCACATCTCTTCCTCATCCGAGAGCAAACCGAGCAGGGTCACTCTACTTGTGACCTGCGGAAGTTCGGGCCCCCTGCCAGCTAAAGCCGCAGTGGTGACATTGGCGCTCTCCGTGGCTTCGGCCTGCCATGGTGCTGTCCTGCAGGAGCCAGCTCCCCCCTGTCCGGTTGCTGCATGGCTTTGCTGGGGCTGCCGTGGACCCACTCTCTGCAGTTGTACCAGCCCTTCCATTTCCCTTGGGTTCTGCCCAGGGTCTCTGTGGCTGGGCCCAAGAGCTCAGCGAGCCTTTCCCGGAAAGCCAGGACATCCTCCACCCCCGATGCTCCATTCGGGGAGGTCTCCCCCTCCCATAACTTTCTCAGCAAGCCCAGGGGGTCCTCCCCCCTTCTGCACTCTGGTAGACCTTCGGGGTGCCTCCCTGTGTGCAGACAGCAGATGGGGCAGGTACTTGTCCCAGTCCTATGGATGCCAGTGGATGAAGGCCTCCAGCATCTGCTTCAGGGTCCCCTGGAATCTCCTCACCAGCCTGCTGGACTGGGAGCAATACGGTGGGGCCCAGGTGAGCCGGGCCCCGTGCTTCTCTCATAAGCACAGGAGCATGGCTGACATGAAGTTGGATCTCTGGTCTGTGAGGACCTCCTGGGGGAACCCCACCCTGCTGAAAAGGGCCAGCAGTGCGTCTGCCACCGTGTCTGCCTCAGGGTAGTTGGTAGCCAAATTCACTGCTACCAGGATGTATTTGTTCCCCGTCCGGGTGGCCTGGCCGACATGCCCCACTATATCTATTGCTGCCTTCTGGAATGGCTCCTCTGTAAGGGGTAAGGGCCTCAAAGCAGCTTTCCTCCCATCTTGGGCCTTCCCCAGTCTCTGGCATGAGTCGCAGGACTGGCAGTACCACTGCACGGCTGCAAATATCCCTGGCCAGTAGACGTTTCGGAGCAATCTCAGCTGGGTGCGCCAGATACCCCGGTGCCCCACAAATGGGATGTCATGGGCCAGATACA